TGAAGGTAGGGAAGGTGTGCTAAATCCTTATCTAGTGAAAAAAATTAATGTTTATAATTTATGTTAAAGAAAGAGAATACAAGCAAGAATATTAAAGTATATCCTAACAAAAATTCCATATAGAATTGAAAATATGTTTTCTTAGGAGGTATGGTGGAGATTGACCTTTTAAATGTATCCTTACATTAAAAATGCATTATTTTGACAAAAAATAAATAATATATTAATGTATGCATTCAACTGGATGTTTTAGGGAGTTCCTTTTATAATTTTTTAAAATATATTTTTATTTATTTCAGAGAGGAAAGAGGGATAGAAACATCAATGATGAGAGGGAATCATTGATCCACTGCCTTTTCATGCCCCACACTGGGGATCAAGCCCACAACTTAGGCATGTGCCCTGACCTGGGATCAAACTATAACCTTCTGGTTCATAGGTTGATGCTCAACCACTGAGCCATGCCAGTTGGGCTATTTTTTAAATCATTTCACAGAATTTAGTTAAACAAGGCTAGAGTTGATATCTTAAGAGAAAATTATTTCTCTTAGCAAAAGTCTAGCCAATTATACCTAAGCAAAGTTCCTGGAAGCACTTAAATAGTCCATCTGTCACTAAAATGCCAACAAATATGAAATTCTACTAGGGTTTCATGTTGTTTATACTCCCCTCATGCATGACCTTCTCTTTTAAAATGTTAACAATTTTCAGCAATGTATCAAGATAAATTCCTCATTCTAAGACGATTTCACAAAATATCCCCTTTTAATAGGAAGAATTGGAAGCAAGATAAGCAAAAAGGAAAACATTATAAAGTGCTAAGAGGAGAAAAAGAGGTTAAAACAATAACAATACAACATCACTTTAATTTCTTCTTAAATTTCTAGAAGGACCTTATGTATATATCACCCTCTTTATCACTCATTATTTCTGGGCCTCATTTTTCTGATATGTAAAAGGAGAGAGTTTGAAAAACTGATTTATAAGTTCTTATTGAGCTTTAACTTTTTTCACTGAAATTTTCCTACACTTTTGCATCATTTCACTTCCATTTTCTTCTTTGATTTTCAAACAACTCTTCCTAGCAGTTAGCAGGGCAGGTGCATTATGACATTATGGGTAGACTCTGGCTCATTCGGGTTAAATATCCTGTGCAAGGCCAAACAACTGGTAAGCTGGAAAAGGGAAACTCTCAGGCATTTTTTTTTTTTTACCATATTTCTAAGGTTCTCCACTATGTTTCTATTTGCCTAAGTATGCTGATGAAAAACTGATGGCTATTAAAGTGATATTTATGCCTTATGCATTTATTTGCTCATTCTTATTCAGTTCATATTTATTGAATAATTGCTGTGTCCAACCTCCATCAACTTCTAAAATATTAATCTGTCACTAGAGAGACAATGGTAAAGCCACATCATTGCACCTTAGGCTTCCTTTCTCCCTTTTAGCAGAGTCAGATAAGACTGGGAAATCTTTCATTAATTCTTAAAAGACAAGATTCACATATGCTCACCATCATCTTAACTTAATTTATTGAACTTTCATTAAAGCAGTTAAAAAAAAATTTGTCTCAATTCTTCATGAGTAAATAACCAAAGAGAGGTAGATAAGATTGGTGTAGGAAAAGTCAAGATATAGATATAGATTCTACTAACTGTGGAAAACATTTTGTGTTTTCAGTCTGGAAACAATGATAACAAATCTGGGAAGCATTGTTGATGGTCATTTTTATTTATATCTTGTCTCTCAGGATCTTTAAAATGTGATTGTTATCACATGCTCACAAAATGAAAGGGAAAAGTTAATAATGATTTCCAGATTTCTGGTTTAGGAGCCTGAATAAGATAATGGTGCCACTCAAGAGTACAAAATAACAAGAGCGCATAAAGGGAGATAGTAAATTTCATTTTAGTTATGTGCCTTTGAGATATGCAACAGGGGATTTCTAGAAAGTAACAATATTACCCACATTGGAGTGCAGAAGTCTCAGATGCTGGTTTGGAGTGAGGTACTCAGGAATAATCATAATAGAGGTAATAGTTAAAACCATAGAATAACACAGGAGATGTGTATAGAGCAAAAAGAGCACAGAACAGAGGACAGAATCTCAAAATGCTCTAAATGATGGAAACACTTTTTAAAAATGTTAGAGGATCCACGCATCTGCTGGTGAGAACATGAGTTCTTTCCAAATCTTAACTATTGTAAATTGCACTGCTATGAACATAGAGGTGCATACATTCTTTCTAATGAGTGTTTCTAATTTCTTAGGATATATTCCTAGAAGAGGGATCACTAGGTCAAATAGAAGATCCATTTTTAATTTTTTGAGGAAAATCCCAACTGTCTTCCACAGTGACTGCACCAGTCTGCATTCCACCAGCAGTGTATGAAGATTCCCTTTTCTCCACATCCTCATCAACATTTGTAATTTGTTATTTGTTGATGATAGCCATTCTGACATGAGTAAGATGATACCTCATTGTCGTTTTGATTTGCATCATTTGAATGATTAGTGACTTTGAGCATTTTTTCATATATATCTCAGCATTTTTCATATATCTTTTGCATATCCACTTTGGAGAACTGTCTACTCAGGTCCTTTGCTCATTTTTTAATTGGATTGTTTATCTTCTTTTGTTAAGTTGTATGAGTTTCCTATAAACTTTGATGGTTAACCCCTTATGTTATGTGTCATTGGCAAATTTGTTCCCCCATGCAGTGGGCTCTCTTGTTATTGTGTTGATGGTTTCTTTCACTATGCAGAAGCTTTTTATTTTGATGTAGTTCCATTTGTGTATTTTATACATCTATTATATATAGTGGAAAAATACAAAGCTATTAAAGAGAAAGAACTCTTACCATTTGTAACAGCATGAGTGGACCTGGAGAGCATTGTGCTAAGTGAAATAAGCCAGTCAGAGAAGGTAAGTTTCACATGATCTCATTCATATGTGGAATCTAATGAACAACATAAACTGATGAACAAAAATATGCCCAGAGACATGGTAGCATCCAACAGACTGTCAAACCTCAGAGGGAAGGCAGGGGAGGGGAGTGGAGGGCAGAGATCAACCAATGAACTCATATGCACATATGTATAACTCATGGACATAGACATTAGGGTAGTGAAGGCCTAGGGTGAGGAGTGGGGCAGGATGGGAGAGGTCAATGGGGGGGGGGAGGAATGGGACATATGTAATACTTTCAACAGTAAAGATTTTTTAAAGATGTTAGAGGAAAAGATAATTTGGGACATAGACAAAGAGAGGTCCACAGAAAAGGGAACTAAAAACTAATAAAATGATGTAAGAGGAGCTAAAATAAAATAAAAGGGAAGGGCCATTCTAAAAGCATTCTAAAATCCACAATGCAAGTAAGGTAAACACTAACAGACTTCAATAGGTTAGTAAATAGAGTATTGCTGATTTTTGTCACAAAGGTTTTAGGGAACTTCAGAGATGAGATGCTATATTTTTGGTGTATAGATCACGAATAGAATGGTGAAGGAAATAAAGATGAAGGCAGCCAGCCAGTATACTACTCTATTTTTCCTACAATGAACATGTAGCAATATTTGTGCAATAATATTTCACAATGATTGAAGTCAGTTTCCCTAAAAATAAAATAAATACGAGTGTAGCTGAGGGGTCTGTGCGGATTCGAAGGCCGTCTGTTGTGTCTATCCCTGGGGTTTAGAAAACAATCAAAGGGAAAGAAAAAACTGCTGTGGAGAGATATAACTGTGAGAGAGCAAATAACATTTGATTTTTTTGTCTTAAAATATGACATGAGTGTTCTTGTAAGTCTAAGAAGATATCATGTTTCAATCAGAACTTTGTCTCTAGAAGCACTTAAACTTGGATGCATTTTCCAGGTGAAACAGTAAGGCTAACACTAAATAAAGAAAGGCTTACATGTCCACACTCATTGGGCCACCCCGTGAGGTAGTCCATTTCCATCTTACAGATGCCGAAGGGAGCTCTAATTGACCTGTGGTGGTTAGGAGGGAGCCCGGAGGAAGCTCAGAAATGGTCCTTTGAACCTAATGCTCTCCACTCTTCCCTGTGTTCTGTCTTTCATAATACGATGTGAACAGTGTTGAATGAGTCGTATAAATTAAGCTTCTTGATTCCAGAAAAAGATAGATTTTGAAAAACAAAATTACTATCAATCAATAAAACAATATCTGAAAGTGAGATTTGAAAAATCTGCATCTTTCCTCAAAAGGCATAGCATTTCCCCCCCTCAAATATAAAAACTGGAAGACGTTACTTAGACATATGTGTTAAAGAAAAAAAGAACACAGTGAAACAATGACTTGTAATAAACTCAAAGTAAAATGTGTTAGGGTGATTAAAATATGCATTTAAAAAGTATTTGGAATAAAGCTCCCAATAGGAATTAGGGACACAAAAATTATTTCTGTAAAACAGAGCCTAACACCACATTTAGTGCCAACATTAGGTATAGTTTCCTGGATTTCATGTTTAAAATTTTTAATATATTTTTATCTCTTTTTTCTTAAACATAATATATCTAAATAGGATCACAGAATCTGTTTTATATGAAAACAAACAGACAAATGAAAACATAATTCCATATAAACAGAGAATATTGGTCTTTATTTTTGTAATCATTTTTTAAAAAAGTTTTTCCAGAAAACAATTGCTTTAAGGTCTCCTTTGCTACACTTGAAACCACAACCGCTGTAACTTGCCTGCTGATAAGTCAGGTCTAGATATTAGTACATTACACTATCACTACAACTGTGACTCAGGGTGAAAATTTCCCTAAATCACTGTTGTAATCTTTGGAGATTAAAATCATAATTTTCTGTGCTGGGCTGGGTAGGTACTGAGGTGCTGTGGTTGTTGGAGGGGTTAAACTGAAGCTACTGGTGCATTTATATTAGGGAGGATTCCTAAAACACCACAGTGGAGTCTGGGTCAATCCCTTACTGTGAATGAGCAGTGGCCAATAGAAAGGGGAGAAGAAGATCCAAGACAGCTGAGGTAAGCGGGTTCTGAAGCCCTGTCAAAGGGGAATCAATAGATCAAAAGGTTCATGGTGACCGGTCAGAGTAAGCTTTATTTTTTATTACAGGAGGCTTGTCAGCATGAAATAAAAACAAATTACTCAAGGCAAAGATTTTTTTTTTCCTTAACTGAGTTTCAGCAAACTTCAAACCCAGACCAGGACTCAACGGTATATTGCCTGGACAGCAAGGTAAACTATTTTACACTTTTAAAACCTTAAAGTTAAGACTTTGAAGTTCTGATCCATCAGAGGCATGGGTACACTTTCAATAAATAAAACAAACCCCTATTCTGAAGGAAAAAGACAATTTCAGTGTCTCTGCTGGAAGATGACCAGGGCAGCATTCTGTAACTGTAAGAACTTTGACAGCTTGTGGAAGTAGCTCTGCACTTGTCATTTTCCTCAATTTAGCTGCAAGATAGAAAGCTTAGCATTTCACAAGAGATGCTGGGTTGATTTATCTTTTTTTTTTTTTAAGGGATCAGTAAAATTTATTCAATCCTTATTATCAAGCAGTTGAACTAAATGTATATTGGTTGAATGTTACTGGTACATATATGTATTTTTTTCCTGTTAAAATATTTTATTGTGCCTATAATTTGTTTATGTACTATGGGAAGGGTTCGTGTTTTTTAGATGATTCATATATCAGTAAGTGTTAACCTATTCTTTGTTAGAAGCCATACTGAAAATTAGGAGCCCTCCCTACATCCTAAACATGTTTTTGGTTTGGTTTTGTTTCTTATCAACATAAAAATGCCATAATTAAGTACATTATTTACCTAATTATGATATAAAGTTCATGATTCAAATTTCTTGGCTGAACGATTTAATTCTGTACTTATAATAGAAGTCTCTCCCCAAAACGCCAAAATAAAACTTACCTGGGAAGTTGAGCAACAGAGTAAAAGATTAATCACACACTTTTCTTCAGACCTTAAAACGTTCCTCAAAACAAACTGCTAAAACGTTCTCTGATTGCTCTTACTTTGGTTCAAGGCCCAGAGCCTGGGAAATCTCAACCAGATGTTCTGCTCATTTAGAAATAAAAGTAAAAGCATATGCCTACTTACTAGGAATAACACAGACTCTCAATGTGAATTATTCAAAGGTCACTTTTTTGTACTATTCTATTCAACTCCAGATTTCAGTTAACTTCCTTGCATTAAGTAGCTTGAAGTGGAAAAGCACTTATAGTTCCTAAAATTTGCTTTTCAGTTTTCATTGTGATTTGGTTAAGACCAGAAAGGTACAAGTTGGTGAATCAGTTTCAGTGTCTGCAAAATGCTTTGCATATAGTGCCTCCTAACTAAGTGGGTATAAATTACTGTATATATCTAAAATGTTGGCACGTGTTTACTTTCTGCTAAAAGAAATAATGCTTTTGATCATTTTAGTGCATGCAGTTCTCTCTGTAGAGATGTCCAGTATCTAACAGTTGTATCCTTTACTATAGGAACTATAATGGCAACCGCAGTCTGTCTCCTCATCTCGGTGGTATTCCTTACAGATTCTGTCTGGACTCGAACTGTGAGACAGGTCTATGAGGTCCATGATCCAGAGGATTTTAATGAGCAAGACTTTGATTGTCCCAGGGAATGTTTCTGTCCCCCCAGTTTTCCTACTGCTTTATACTGCGAAAATCGTGGTCTCAAAGAAATCCCTGCTATTCCTTCAAGGATCTGGTATCTGTATCTTGAAAACAACCTTATAGAAACCATTCCTGAGAAGCCATTTGAGAACGCCACCCAGCTGAGATGGATCAATCTAAACAAGAACAAAATCACCAACGATGGCATTGAAAGAGGAGCCCTAAGCCAACTAAAGAAGCTGCTCTTCTTATTTCTGGAAGATAATGAGCTAGAGGAGGTTCCTTCTCCATTGCCCAGAAGTTTAGAGCAATTACAATTAGCTAGAAACAAGGTGTCCAGAATTCCTCAAGGGACCTTTAGCAATCTGGAGAACCTGACCCTTCTTGACTTGCAACACAACAAACTCTTAGACAACGCCTTTCAGAGAGACACCTTTAAGGGACTTAAGAACCTCATGCAGCTAAACATGGCCAAGAATGCCCTGAGGAATATGCCACCAAGATTGCCAGCCAACACAATGCAGCTGTTTTTAGACAACAATTCCATTGAGGGAATACCAGAAAATTATTTTAATGTGATTCCTAAAGTGGCCTTCTTGAGACTAAACCACAACAAGTTATCAGATTCAGGTCTCCCTTCCGGTGGTTTTGATGTGTCATCCATTCTAGATCTCCAGCTCTCTCACAATAGGCTCACAACTGTCCCCCGAATCAACGCTCACCTACAGCACCTGCACCTGGACCATAACAAAATCACAAGTAAGTAGCCATCAGGGTGCGTCTCTGACTGAAATGTTCATAGTCATTAAATGTATTCGATATATTTTTTAAGAATAGCGACTTGTTCGTTGGTTTTTTTTTCCAACCAATCTGCCCTTAGATTTTTCAAAGTGTATTTTTTAATTTTTAAAGTGTATTTACTTTTATCTCTTAATAGATAGTTTCGATGCACCAAAACGTTTCAATCTTCAAATTGCAGATTGAAAAGTGGACTTCAGTGATCCACAGGGGACTGGTATCTGTTGGAGAAAGTAAATGCCTCCATCTTCTTTACTCCAAAGGAGATTCTGAGGATTTTTTCTTTTCTTTTTTGTCTCACTGAATAGACTTATTTAAGAAAGTGTCCCAGGCACAAACAACCTCATGAACAGTAACAGAAGGAACATGATTTATAGGTTATCAGGAAGGTGCCTTTTCCCTAAAAACTCCAGGGCAGCTGATGCCTGCTGCCCTCATTAGAGTCTCTGCTTTAGATCAGTGGGTTTCTCAAACTTTAGTGCACAGGCCTGTACCTCCACCTAATTGAGTACTTCTAGATGGGACCGGAGACTTTTCATATCTAATAAGTTCCCAGGTGATGCTGAGAATGCTGCATCCCCTGGGAACCATGTCTTGGGGACCAATACTCTAGTTTAAGGCTGTGCTCAATGTAAACGAAAGCAAATGTCCCTGGACTTTGGCAACTCCTCAGAACTAATGGCAATCTCCAAGGTACAATACCTCTCCTTTCCTGAAAATAGTTTTGGATAAGAGAGTGTGAGGTGAGTGCCAAGTGTCCTGGAGGCAGAGGCGCCGTCAAGGAAAGAAGTGGTTGTAGAAAGAAGAGGCTAGAGGCATTGAAGGCAAACTTGGCACTTGCACAGTTATGCCCAAGACCAGGCTGACTGTGGTGCAGAAGCAGATAGTGTCTTCCTGCAGCCACAGGGGCATTGGTATCAGCCAGGCACCTACCCATGCATCCTCAGTCCCAGCACACGCCCGCTGGGAAGGCAATCTTGAGGAGACTTCTGAACAACCTTAGAGACACATGCCTAAAGTGAGAATTGGTTTGTAGAAAAATGACACAGATAATTGTCAGAAAGTTATGCTGTCTGGTTATTACAATCTAAGATTTTCTACATGTATATAATCATATAAACATCCCATTTGTAAGAATAAAAATATTTCTGCTCAGTACTCCTCAGTAATTCAAGATCTGTCTGGTTTTTCTAATAGAATATGTGAGCTGAAAAATCCAGGAAGTAATAAGCAGGTTGCTGCCACAACAGTTATTTTTCCATGGTGATGAGACATGTTGTTTAATCCTGTAGTCAAAAGCAAAAGATGTAACAAAAATGTTAATTGGATCTGTTTCACTGAACCTGATAGTGCAACAGCCAATATGGACCTAAATATGTGCAATTTTTTCCTGATGAAAATTCTGTACTTCTACAAGAGCATTCCTCATCTGACAACAGAGGTCTCATAAATATTGGCTGTAGGAAGATGCTTTAAAGTGATTTCATGTAAGTCCCTTTTTGTGAATTAGGAATTCCCCTGAGAATTTGAGGTTGAGGGTGTTTAGTAGTGAGGCAGCAAAGTTCAACACACAGTTGGGCACATATGCCAGCACTTACATTATTATACAAAGCGGCACAGAGAAGAAAAGGACTCTGTAGTTCCTTCATTAACGTTTTAGAGAGCTTTTACAAAGTGTTCCCTCATGTTTTCCTTCTTATACCTTAGCAGGCCTCAGAGTCACCCGAGGGCTAGTATCTGACTCAAGAAGTCTGGGTTGGGGCCTGATCATTTAGTTCTCAGGCAAGTACTGGTACTGCAGGTCCAGGGACTCCACTTTAAGAACAACAAATTATCCTTAAAAGAGCCTTGTATGCTATAATTAGAAACTTATAACAAAAGAGAAACTGAGGCGCTCAACTAGGAGAAGATAGTTGCTAAAAACAAAGAGTAAATATAATAGCAGGAACCTGAGCCCAGGACTTCTCATTTTAAATATTTCTTTTCCTGCACTCATACAGTATAATCACAGCATATTTTTTAATTTTATTTTATTGATTTTGTAGAGAGAGGAAGGGAGAGAGATAGAGAGTTAGAAACATTGATGAGAGAATCATCGATCAGCTGCCTCTTGCACACCCCCTACTGGGGATGTGCCCGCAACCAAGGTACATGCCCTTGACCGGAATCGAACCCGGGACCCTTCAGTCCCCAAGCCGATGCTCTATCCATTGAGCCAAACCGGTTTCGGCGGACAGCACATTTTTCTTAAATTCTGAAAATATAAAACTTTAGAAAAAATTTCAATAGTTTCATAGCAACAACATCAACAAAGATCAAGTGCTTTATTTGTTTCTTAATGTAGATATAAAGCATGGCCATTTTAATTCTCCAAGAAAATAAATTTAAAATGAGTTTTTCCTGGATATAATTATTGGCTCACCATTATATTACACTGTGTTATAACAATTATTAAAGTACTTAGTTCTTCTGACCATATAATCTACTATAGTTGCTAATAAAATTATTTCCAAGAAATGCACCTTTTATATGAAGATTTCTCAGAATTTACAAGGCAGTGAACTTTTCTTATGCAAAATAATGGCAACACTTATTTCTTCTGAACTCTTTAGGGACTTTAAATTTGGCATAATGTTATGTTAGGTACTTCTAGATGGCCTCTCAGAAACACCATAATTAATTTAATTAACATATTGATTAAATAAAATACAACTAAACTTAGAACACATGTTTCTTATGTTCCATTTGTTTGCACAGGCATTGGTTATGAGCACAGGGTGATAAAGATGAGGAGATAGTACATAGAAGAACCAATCTCTCCAGTAGACAAGGGATGCTGTGCAGTAGGAAAAGGACTAGGTGGGGTCCAGCTCGGACCTCACTTGCTGAAATACCTGGTGTGCATTACCTGACCTGTCTCAACCACTATTCCCACAAGACCCAGGTGGGGAGAATTTTAAATTATCTGATAAAGGCTGTGTGGTATTAGCATGATAATTATGTGGGGGGGAAAATAACTTTATAAACATAAGACTGTCATACAAATGAGTCATTTTTAGTTCAATTCACAAAATAGCATAAGATCATAGCAGAGCAACCTTAGTGTAAGCATAAAATTCTTCAATACAATATAAAAGCCTAGGTGCCAACAGGACAAAAGGAAGGGGCCATTGCCAAGCTAGGTGGGTCTCATCTTCTAAGGAAGAATTTTTGTTCCAACTCATTTCAAAATGGGATTTAAATGCAACATAGGGATTCATGGTTGAGATCGTTTATTATACTTCTCCAAATTCTGCTAGTTTAACAGGGCTTCTCTCCTAAATCTCCTATATCTCAGTATAATCATTGATGCCAGGGGCTCTGACCCAAGGCAGGGGCACAGTTTCTCACATCCTAACCATCTGAAAAGGCTGTTGGGATATTTTCTATCTTGAATTATTTGTTATTTAATTCTTGGCAAATGTTTCCATTCCAATTAAATACACTTAAATATAAAGATTCAAGTTATTTTTATGCGTTATGTATATACACGTACATTAATTGTACTTAAAAAGCTTGTCGTTATATAGTTTTGCTTTGAAATTTGGCATTTTTAAGGTAACTTTCAAGCACTTTAATAGACTGATTTTTCACCTATGCATACATCTATCCATCTACCCATGCACCTACCTATTCTTCCGGTACCAACTCTGAATTGTCTCTAATAACCTAAACTTTACCTGTCTCAGCCTGTAGTAATCTAAGCTTGCCTTATCTCACCTTGTTTTCATTTTAGCTTTTAACAATGTGTCCTTTCTAGTGCTCCGTATAACATATAGCAGAATATGGAGTCATATGACTATAGATATGCTGCCCATTTTTTCAGGAACAACTTTATAAAACAGATATGCATAACCCCCAACTTACCAAAAATCGTTTGTACCTCTGTCACTTTCTAGATCATAAGACTGGCCTTAAAGTCTGTGGTAATAGTTTCTTTGTACTCCTTCCCCCAGTCTTTTGTGTTCTAATTCATTTATTCATGCTCTCTCTGTCTGTCTAGATGTGAACGTCTCTGTAATATGTCCTACCACTTCCACACTGCCTGCAGACCAAGATTCCTTCAGTTATGGACCTCATCTGAGCTACCTTCGTCTGGATGGAAATGAAATCAAACCACCAGTCCCAATGGATTTAATGAATTGTTTTAGGCTCCTGCAGACTCTCATTATTTAAACACATGTTCAACAATCTAAAATTGTTTAATACACTAATATTTCTGACAAGATATTTGGATAACATTCATAGGTGTAAAACAAAAATTCATTTCCAAATGCTCTAGGCCACCATTTTTATCTGTGCAGTTTAGTTTTTCTATTCAAAGAGGCTTCTTTCACAGTAAAATAGACTACCTTTTTTTTTTTTAAAGAGAGAGAGGGAGAGAGAAAAAGAGGAAGAGGGAGAGAGAGAAACATCCCAGAGAAAAACATGCATCAGTTGCCTCCTGTACATGCCCCAACCAAGAATTAAATCTGCAACTTGGGTATATGCCCTGATTGGGAATCTAACCCACAACCTTTAGGTATATGGGACGATCTCCAGCCAATTGAGCCATCTGGCAAATTTTAGTAAATAAAACAGACACAGAGTTAAGTAATTAACTCAAAGATAATTTTTGTCTCTTTCACAATTTATTAATACCATATGCAATTGTATTGTTTTGCCATAAAAAGAACATATTTCTTTGCATATGTTCAAAATTGCTTATTCAGATACTATATTTACAGTAGAAGTATAACAACCTAATAGGAGGTAGGACGATCTGTAGAAAATTTTAAAAATGAGACTTTTCTTTAATCATAATTATAAATAAATAATTAAATCCAGTTAGCTAAGTAGCTTTTATAGGTTGAAGCTTAGTATTTAGCCCAGAAATAGGTATGGAATACATCAAGTACTTCATGAGGGAGTTTTAGTCATTGAATACCAAATATCAGAGCAACAGCCATTTTTAGTTTACTATTATTTTCTATAGCTGCTGTTTCTATAGTACAATATACTTCAGCATTTAAACTCCTACATTTTTTACACTTACTATAACACATTTCTGACAGAATCTTATTTTAACATTTGAAATCCACTTGAATTCCTGTGTTTAGCTCATATATTTGTCAGTATTTTCTTGGATTTTTAAAATAAAAAAGAGCGATTGCTTTCTAACAAAATGGAACTATTTATTTCAGATTTATTTCAGGCACATTACTCACAAGTTTTATTAAAAACACATTTTAATAGAAAGTGTTAGGGTGACAACTGTTTCCATTTTTCTAGCATGAGTGTATGCACATATATCTTCCCACTTTGTTTTTTTCTTTCTTCTAATAAACATAAGAAAAAAATTCATACTTTAAGTACCTGATGTAATACAGCTGTTTTTCATGAGTTAAACAATTAATCCAGGATTTTGTTAAGTAACAAAGTACAGTTCTTTTAGACTTCTGATTTATTGATAGTAAGACATGTGCTATAAACAATAAATATTACATAAAGATTAATATGTGCCTATATACAATAGTATTCTGAAAAATCCTATAAATTTTATATATATCCCTAGATGAAGGAATATATATATAATATATATAATAGATAAATTATATATCTATTATATATATATATATATATATATATATATTGTATATATATAGTGTGTACGTGTGTGTGTGTGAAACACAACATTTAAGAAAGCTCAACATATTGCTTTATTCCAAAGCTTCTCAGAAGCATAATAAGTTATTCTGTTATGTGACTTTCCAAGAGAGAATATAAATTGCAATATTTCCTTCTTTTTTTCACAACTGAACTTATTTGGGGATGGGAGGGAAGAACCACCTAACACACTTTGAACATTGTTTTTAAAATATAAGAAATATAATTAATTGACATAAAATATTACTGTTTTTAAAAACTTAAAAGCACATAAATAAAATTATATATACAATTATGACATAAAATATAGGTAATCAGGTATCATTAGGCTGGGAAAGAAGAATATGTTGAGAGAAACATAATAACTTTAAAAAAACATGGTATGTGAAAAGAGGATAGAATATATTTTAAGAAGTCCAAAATGAAGAGGAGAGCATATAGGTAAAATTTAGTATGAGCCATATATTAGCTCTTACCAAGAAATAATTTCCTAATAGTTGTTAGGAGTCACTCAGCAAAGAAAGCAACTTGAGGTAGAATTTTCTCGAGGTAGAATTACCCACAAGGAATGGAACAAGGAATGAGTGATGACTCAAGAGAAAGAATATAGAAATGATTCTTGACCTGTAAGCAAAATTGTAAAATAGTCCTCTTAGGACTTTTAAATTAAGAATTCTATCTCTTCCTTCCTTCCTTGTTTCCTCCCTCCCTTCCTTTCCTCTTACCTTTTTTTCCTTTATTTCAGAAAATATATTTTTTAGCACCACATATGTACCAGGCTACATTATATCCAGGAAATTTAGTAGTGCATGAGGTTTATGCTATACTATAGTGGATAAGACACAAATTAACTGAATAATCACAAATTGTGATAACAGAGATGCATGGTGCTAAATAATTAATAATAGTGATTCGATATTTGAATAATGGTTATATGGCAAAGGCCTTCTATGGAGAATATACAATGGCCTCAAAATTCTACAGTAAGACAATCCACTTAGAAAATGAGCAAAGAATGTGAACAGACATTTCACTGAGCAGATACAGACACAGCAAGATATTCCACATTGTCAGACATTAGAGAACATGCAGATTATAATCACAATGATATGTCACTACATACCTATAAGAATGGCTAAAATAAAACACAGGCGCACCATTAAGTGCTGGTCAGGATGTGGAAGAAACACACTTATTCATTGCTGGTGGGAATGTAAAATGGTTCAGCCACTTTGGAAAACCACTTAGCACTTTCTTCTAAAACTAAAGACAACCTCCATGTGACCTGGCAATTTTATTCTTGAACATTTGTCCCAAAGGAAAAAGAAAGTATGTTCGGACAAAAAATTGTACAGGAAGTGTTCAGATCAGCTTTATCTATAAACACACAGAAAACGGAGAACAACCAAAATGTGCTCCTATAGGTGACTGGTTGAACACTCAGGCACATCCATACATGGAGGACTTCACAGCAGGGAAAAGGAATGAAGGATGGATAAATACAAGGCTTCATTCAGGGCATCATAAGGGAACAATGTTGTGTGGAAAAGCCCACTGTGATTCTATTTGCACAATGTCCTTGAAATAAAATTACAGACATCAGGGGCAGCTTCATGGTTGCCACAGGTTAAAAATGGGCCTGGTGGTGTAGATGGCTATAAAGGCAGAGCCTGTGGAGATGGAGCAATTGTGTCTTGATTATGGTGATCACATAGATCTGCACAAAAGTGAACAGAAGTGTACACACATGTACATGTAAGCACATGTGAATCTGGTGAAAAAGGTCTAGCTCAGTGAATTGTTCCAAAGTCAATCGCTCAGTTGTGACACTATAATTTAATCTACACTAATAAAAGAGTAATATGCAAATTGACCTTGCCTTTGTGACACCTACTAGCTAATAAGGGGTGAGTATGTAAATTAGCTCAACAAAGATGGTGGGTTAATTTGCATAGGCAGGCCCCGAAATGGCTGTGGGCGGGACAGGACACTTGAGTTGCCACCATGTCGATAATGCAGGGGTTCTGCTTAGTCCCCTTTTGCTCTGGGCCTCTGGGCAGCATGGGAAGGCAGAAAGGCAGCTCTGATGCCCGAGCAAAAAGGCAGCTTCTGTTGGAGTGAAGGCAGTGCAGGCAACCAGGGTAAGGAAGGCCCATTCTTGCATGAATCTTCATGCATCAGGCCTCTAGTTTAAAATAAAAGCTAAAAACACTGAGAAGCTTGAACAATAGATATCAGATGTAGGATTGCGAGGCAGGTGGTCTGGAATGGAGTGGGAAAATCCAGTTGTGATTCTACTAATATAGGGAGAGATATCAACAATAGTTTCAAGGTGTTTTTCTTTTTTTCCCCCCAACAGTTTAATGAAGCAAAGCCAAGATATACTTTGAATGGTTAATATGTCTCATTGTAGCCTTGTCTGTCTTATAATTAGTGACAGAGACCTAAATCCAGACTCAGAAAAAAATTGTCTTATGTAAAGAATATATAACTGGAAAATTAGTACAAGGGAAAAGCAGAGTGACAAAGAATATTATTAAGCTAAAAAGAAAATAAGAAAAAGTCATAAAAAAAAGACAAGTAAAAAGAATAAAATGAAATAGTGCATTTGGAGCCACATATATTGATAATTACTTGGTACAAAGGCTAGGATCTTGTACGTTAGAGAGAAAAGACTGAGTTTCCAATCCAGCGTGTGAATTTCCTAACTCTTTGGTCTTAATATTTCTGAGCATGGAATCCTTGTCTCCAAAAGAGGGACAACCCAACTCTCTTACACAGTTGCTATGAGGATAAGAGAAAAAACAGGTGGATCCTGGTCAGGTAGCTCAGTTGTTTAGATCATCACCTGGATAGCCGAGGTTGTGGGTTCAATCTTTGGTTAAGGCACATACAAGTAGCAACCAATGAATGCCTACATAAGTGAAACAACAAATCCCTCTCTCTCTCTCTCTCTCTCTCTCTCTCTCTCTCTCTCTCTCTCTCTCTCTCTCTCTCTTCCTCTCAATTAATAATAAAAAAGAACAGATTTGTAGTTCATAGTTCACATCACTTGACAGATAGAAAGTACCCAATAATTGGTAGGTAAGAATTTTATTATTAGGAGGGATTCCAATACACAAAATTTCTCTATACCAGACCATATTTTAAATAAGGAACTGAGAAAAATGTTTTGGTGCAAGAGAAGAGTAAATAGGCAAGTGGATTTGAGAGTGACAGAAAGGGGCCAGTAAACCATGACTCAAAATTGGATAATGAATAAAAAGAAAAGAAAATCAGGAGGGCACAGATGAACTGGGGGGAAAAAGACTGAAGACTCCATAAGATGAAGTACCCAGGTTTGAGGGCAAACCTGGGAGGAAAAGAGTGAACTCGGTCAGGGAGACTACAGTTTAAAATGGCTTACATAGCCCATGTTGAGAAATGAAAAAGATTCCGGGTGTGGCCAGAGGAAATAACTGTCAAAATAAAGAGGAAATGAATGTCACCGAGGTCAAACAAGCCAAGGAATTATGATTTCATAAGAATCTCAGATGCACATGCTTACAGTTTATTTTAGCACTCTGGAGAGAAGAGTCAACACAAAATGATAAAATTTTTGAACATTACAAATAATTTAAGGAGCTTGTTCAATGTCGTGTAGCTGTTTATTGATAAACACAGGATTTAAACCTAAGTGGATAGTCTGCCTTAAGAACTTTTGATCATTATGTTATACCACCTCTTATGGTAACACATTCGATGATAGTTGAATAATTTAACAAAATTATTCTAGGAAATTATATATATATATATATATATATATATATATATATATATATATATTCTTTGCAAATGATTTTTAAGTGATTATTAAAATATCAGTTTAAAATACAATGAAATGTAGAAAATTATGAAATATGCAGAAAATTTTTGTGTTTTTTGCATGATGTGAATCTCAGAAAGTCCTTGCTCAAAATATTTTTGTACCAAGAAAAGATGGAAAATGTATATAAGCACATTGTAAAATTCAAAACTGTTAAGCAAATAGAACATATAATTTGCAAAATCACAGAGTATTATCTTGAAGTTTTAGATTATTGTTGTACCAGTTGGAAAACTCTCACTTTCTTTGTGACATTCAGCTG